TTCAAAGAAATGATATTTTTTTCTAACAAGAAGATGGTGTTATGAAAACTATTGAACACTCCTCAGTCAATAACAAAATATTGTCAATTGGTTATTAGCTAAATGGTAAATTACTATTTCCAATCAGGTATTTGACCTTCGAGGCATCCTCCAGCACTAAACCGGAAGAATCGCTGTGCCTTGCCCCCCAAAGACAACCAACGGTGAGCGGGACGACCCAACGTTTCGGGGCCGGGAATGTGGTACGTATGAAGCGAGCGCGCTCCGGCGCCGCCGCGACTGTGTCCCGTCGAGTCCGCGACTGTGAGCAGCGGCAGCGGAGTTTCGCCTTGTCGGCACCGCGGGCGGTCGGGCGAGCGGGAATCGATAGCCGCGGAAGTCAACACCGCTCGCGAGCGACCTGCACCGCGCGGGACCGCGCCGCGCCGCGCCGCGCCGCGCCACGCGCCGGGAGGCTGGCCCTGACCAGGGTCAAGTCGCCGGCCGCCAGCGGACCCTCCGCAAACGGGCTTTCCACGCGCAGCCAGATTCACAGCGGAACGACAGGTTCCCCGGGAGGAGAGGGACTGCTTTCCCTACTGCATGTATATTTAGAATTATTTTGTCATGGAATGTTTATCTTTAATTCTGCCTGTCTGTCTCTTTCTCTCTCACACACACTCTCGCTGATTCACGCATACATACAAACACTAATATATAATTTTATACACCTACAGTATCTTTCACAATGTCTCTCACACTAACCTTTTCTCTTTCTTTCTTTCTCTCTCTCTCCCCCCTCTCTCTCCCTCTTTCTTCCTCCCTCCCCCCTCTCTTTTACTCTTTCCCTCTCTCTCTCTCTCTCTCTCTCTCTCCAAAGATTCTGCAACCCTAACCAACCTATATCCTTCTTAGCTAGACACTCACCAACTAATTGTACCGCCGGCATCTTCCGAGATCGTGGCAATGGATGTATGGGTATGGAATCTGAGGAAACCATTGGAATCGACCGATCAGATCAGCAGTCCTCTATTATTTTCATTCATGCAGAAAGCGTCTGAGGCATAGACATTTGGTTGACGTAAAAGATTCACAATCGTCGAGATGCGAACACAGGATCTCCGGGCTTAAGAAGTTTCTTAATAAGCTTGCAACTACCCATATTAATCTGTTTAGACATTCTTTACGAAGTAATAAGAGATAAAAAACTTTATTTGAAGAATACATCAGTGATGATAATTCATTTCTAAAGGGGAGAGGGGCAAAAGTTTAGCGTCGCACCGGATGCCTTTTATCCCTCAACGTACCCTACGTGGAGGAATAAACTCATAATACTGACAAAACGAAATGGGAAATTACTAATACCACACGTTATGGTAGTGCTTTTGTGCCCCAGATCACTCTTCGCTTTTCATGTCCCAGTTGATGATAAGACTCCGGCCTTCGACCTCCGTTACGAACATTAAACGATCTCGAATCTGTGAACGGCATACATTTCAACGCACTTTGTGCCAAAATACTTTGTCTTCCGATTTCAATGTGCTCCTCTTCTTTATTTACTTCATGCGGTGTACGGAGTGGATTCGCTCACGAGTTACGTTAAGGGGTGTGACCCCATTGGTAGCCATATTCCTGAAATTGGCCCCTGAACCCGCAGTCTGCACTGTCGGCAGAGTGCGAAGTGTAAAGCTTCAGGGCATGCAGCTGGACTCGCAGATGGCCCGGCCGCAGCTGGCACATATCACCCTCGCAACTAAACGAACGTGCCTGCTCGTATTGCGGAGACTGTTCTGAACGTTGCTGCCAAATTGCATCGCTGGAAAAAGAACAACCCAACTAACTGAAGGCCCAAAAGTCTCTTTCATAATCAGCTTCTACCTAAATACCAGCCAACTAATTTAAATTGACAATTAATAATTATAATAAAATGTCACCACGGTGCTAGAAATTAACTCGATAATAGAGATAGTAACCATTATTAAATTCAAACACTAAACTTTCCAAAACGTCACGGGAGAAAGACCTAAGTTGGTTCAACCTGTCAGATTTCAATTAATGCGAAACAAACCACCAGTCAATATATGATATTTATGTATGGCTCTGAAACAAGTATTGTGAGAATGAAAGAGATAAGATATCTGGATGGTTAAGGAATACGTTTACGGCGTTTAAACATTGGATGGGAAAAATTGGGAATGAAAAGGTTTTAAGGAGGATTGGGGGAGGGCGAGAAGAATAATGGATATTAGAGGGCCGATGGCAAATTGGATTCGGGATGCAGTAAGGAGAAATGTATTCCTAAATTAAACAATGCCACATGTTGAGAAGGAAAGTGATAGAAAGAAACTATTTATGCTGATCGGCATATAAAATGTAGAGGTAAACAAAATTCAATTTGTGCTCCAGAGAGCCTGCTTTGGGAAAGCATATCCATACTAATCTGTCCTAAGGTATATTAATAAGACGATATTGAAATGACTTCGCAGATTCGGAGTTTTGCAGCTGACATGCATCTCTTGCAACGAAGTGAACTTTTCTCATCGGTAAAATTGTAAAGACTGTTGTGTCTCTATCACATTATGCAAACGAGAGAGCGAGCGCGTGAGTGATTGAGTGAGCGAGAAAGAGACAGAGAGAGAGAGAGAGAGAGAGAGAGAGAGAGAGAGAGAGAAAAAAATAGATAAAAAGAGAGAGAAACAGAGAGAAAAATAGAGCAATAGAGAAAGAGATAAAAAGAGAGAAAGATATAAAAAGAGAGAAAGAAAGAAAGAGAAAGGGAGAAAGAAAGTAAGAGAAAAAGAAAAGGAGAAAGAAAGTAAGAGAAAAAGAGAAAAGGAAAAAGAAAGAAAGAGATAAAGAGGGAGAGAGAGGAAAATGGGCAAATCCAACGAAATGAAGTTACAAACAGTTCACTTGTAAACAAGCTTCCGCATAAAATCCATCTGTCATAAATAATACATTTGCCTTGCTCCACAGCGATTTGAATCAACACGATATTTTATTGTACCTCTTCGACGAATACTGGGGATCTATTGCGAAGGTTCTCAAAACGTTTGAATTTGCATCGCATAGTTTCGATGTGCAGAAAGAAACTTTGGATTCCTCTTATATCGTTAATGTAGAAGGAATCTTAGGATAAATATCAAGCGACATTTCTTAAAGTCGTAAATAACATTCCAAACATATTAAAACACAACTGCTGTTCGTCCCTTAAAAACCACTGAACTGAGTTTGAGTTTGTGTAAGGGACTGAACAACTGCAATGTATCTGGTTGCTTTGAGGACGAACCTTTTGCAAGCAGAAGAAGAAGAAGAAGAAGAAGAAGAAGAAGAAGAAGAAGAAGAAGAAGAAGAAGAACAACAACAACAACAACAACAACAATAGAAATAATAATAATAGTAATAATAATAATAAATTCTCAAATTAAGATTCTAAAAGGTCATGTCAGAGGTGGCAAATGATCCTCAAATGATTTTCCAAGAGAAACCGTAATCGATGAGTTGATACTGAACAATTATTAATTACATTAACCAACAATGATCAAATAATATAAGCAAGATCTTTTAAAACATGAAAATAAGATAACATATTTTTAATTTCAAAGTCGGTGAAGTTTCTTGCAGAATCCAAAGCATTTTGCTTGACAAATCCTAATTATATTTGCGAAATGGTTCTTAAATCATTCTGTCAGTTGAAGAAATAGAAATTTAGTTTGTTTCTTACCCTTAAATGTGTAAAGATAATATAATAGAAGATGTTTGAATATTCATATTTTTTATATTAGTGTCCTTGGATGAATTGCAATTGAATTCAAAATTGTGCCACTCCTTTTGCAAGTTCGTTAATTCTTAAAATTCTAATAAATATTAGAAATAGAAAACACATTCGCGAATTCTAGCTACTCCGTTTTTGTTCCTCACTTTCCATGGTAATAATCTTCTCATAATATTTCGAGACAAAATACCCGGAAATTTGTATCGCAAACAAAAAAACCTCCATTGATTCAGCCTATAATTGACCTAATTTTACAGACGGTTTAGAATGTTTGGTTCAACTTTCGCATCTAATGCCGACATAGAAGTTAAGACATCGACAAAGAAAACACTAAAATACTTTCTATCAACATTTGTCATCTCCACTTACATTCTAACAACACTAAATTCCACAAACTTGCTTTAAACACGTAAATAAACCGTCTCTTTATAAATCTCCCGCCTCAGATAACTGTGCTATGATTTTTTTGACACTTTAATCGTGTAAACGATCAAAATGAAGTATATTTCTTCCGAAGTAACCCACATATTATTCGTATCACTTTCTCATAGCAAAACCGCGTAAGCGACACGAAAGCCGGGATAAATACCCCTTATTCTCCGTCGTTCCTTTAGCTCTGCCCCTAAATGTTCGCGCGCCTTTGCTCCAATGGCGCAGTGCGGAAGTTTTTTTATTACTCGGTAAACAAGCACTTAGCGGCCTCCCGTCGCCCAAAGCAGAGCGTTTTAGTGGCTGTTGGGGGGTCAGGAGCGATTTATTAAAAGCTTGAGGTGAAAGCGCTATACATTCTGGAATAGGTAAACACGCGCGAGAAAGTGCTTTCGCCCAGTTTTCAAACAAATGTAGAAAGGAATACATAAAAATAATCAAATCGTTTTATCGTTTTTGTGTGATGATGTGTTTGAAAACACACTGTCATATGAAATAACAACCATTAAGTATATGATTATAGTTTTTCATTTCACAAATATTGGAAATATTATGATTTTTTGTGAAAACACAGAATAAACGGTGATGCTACACAGTACAAAGAAAAAAATTAATCGTATTGTATTCTTTTTTCGGCAATTTGTTATTTTTATATCCTCTATACCATCAGAAAAAAATATTTGTTATTGTCTTTGTGACTTGAAAGTAAAGATTTGAAAAGCAATCGAATTTGCCGCCAATGAAGCTGGTATGCAACGATCGTTGCATTACAGCCAAACAGGTAAGCTATCTTACAGGGGCAGCGGTTTTCACTTACCTATAGATGGAATAACAGCTTACAGAGTCGAATTCCATTTTCCCGCAAATTTCTCGAGAATGTCCCGGCGAAGTTACAGTTTTCGTTCAGCGGCGGAAAAGGATTCCATTCTTAAAGATTTATTCACTTTTTCATTCATAAACGTTATGAAATGGTGCTGTCTTTCTCTTTAGGATATATTCGATGATGCTGAAAGTGACATGTTGAACACTGAAAAATGACAGATCTTATGACAATTTAAAAACAAATATGACAATTCACTAATATACAATATTTTTCGATCAACGACATCATAAAAAGCAGTAATATGCGTTGAGACTTTTTGTTCATGTGTTGTAGCTGAATGGAATAAAGACAACATTTACCTTTAACCATTTGTCTGTTGTTGTGCGCCATTGAATCGACGAGCCAGTTAAATGCAAGCTTCGGATACGGCAGATGACAAGATACTATCGCTGAACCACACACACGCTCGTGGGCCTAGGTCATCTCCGTAGGTTGGCAATCGTTACACGGCAGCACAGCTGGTCGAAAACGAAGAAAGAGCCATCTTGTAGCAGGTTGGGAAACTGAATACACACATATTATGCCATCTAGTGGGGAACTGGTCACCTAAAAGCGAAGCGCTGTCAAAATGTCACGCAAACAAATATCTCGAGACTTGCAACCCGTGTTAGGCAGTCATTAGACGGGACATTCAAATGTTTGTCGTATTTGAACAGTTCAGAGCATGAAGATTTTTAAAAAACTGAAACACGTGAGATGCATTAATTAGCGGGAATATTCAAATGAATGACATATTTTCACAGATCAGAGCACAAAGGTAGCAGTATTTTTTTACCGGTAGCACACACAATTCAGTATGTAACCTTACAGGTGGCTCTGAGTGATTTAGTGCAAATTGATTTGGTAAATAATATCGGAAAGAGTTTTGCACAAATTATTACTTCAGTGATTGTGTTTGACGACTGAGTGTGGAGGAACAAAACAGCGCGTAACGTACTACTGTTGAGATTTTCACAACTTCTCAATCGGCATCATGTGACGCATTTTTCATTATTGTAAAGAAATGAATTAATAAATTTAAACAAAATAAACGAAAAATCCTAAATACTCAAATCTCCTACCCGCGAAACGTACGCTCCGAAATCGAAAACTTAATGTCTTAGTAATTGTAACCAGTGCTCACTTATACGACGCTATTTATTTCAGATTTATCGTGCATTCCCTTTAGCGGAAGCACTATCTTCATGTATTAGAATACTGTGTAATGGTAACCGAAGCAATTTATGATATTTACATTGACATTAAGGCAATTTTTTCAGTTCAATATTTTATTACCGATTTTTTATATTACCGATATTATATTACCGATATTTTATTACCGTTCAATATTTTCGACAATATTTTCTCCCGAAGTGAGTCCAATGTCAGCATTAGATAGAATTTCATGAGTCCCTCAGAAACACTAATGTAATCAAATGTTTGGTTCTATAAGAATTATCTCTTCAATCTTCTGAAAATCAATGGTTATGTAAACAATTTTCCAGGCCTATTCCATTTACTTCATCTTATTGACTTAAAAAGTCACGACTAATGGGAAACATTGATGGGTAAACAGTACAAAATGGCCTGTCGCTACTACGATACATCAACCAAAGACCAAAACCATGCATATGAAGCGGAAACACCGCATCACGTTGTCACAAGCAGATGTATTCATATTCAAAAGCCTTCTGTGGAAAGCTAGTCATGTTTTAAACACGTAAGCTCAATCGGGTTGGTTGACAAAATACAAGTCTTGAATTTCATTATAGCTTCATCTGAAATAGCAAATTATTGTATGATCAAATGGCAAGCAAAACAATCCCATTTGCAGTATCAAGTCCAATCACGTTTTTCAAAAGTTTGTCACCGTTGTACTTCCTCTTCAAGGCACAAGGACTCGCTTCTTTTTCTGCTATACCCGCGAACAATGCGGCTGGTGTGGAGCTCAGTTTCTCCCTATGGCAAACCCTCCATTGCATTTTCATGGTCGTCACACAAACCCTCACGTTTTTCTTTCGATGGCTTTACCTATTTGACGTGTTTTATCCTGCATCTGCGTCCACGTCTCGAGCAGTAGGGTTGAGTCTTTGGATTATCATACTGTTTTCAAATGGCATCTGCATTCTAATGTCCATTATTCCAAAATACCGAAAAAATTTTAATTCTTATTTTACATCTATAGCCGTAGCTGATAGAATTTTGTTAAAAAACAGCAACTTATTTTATAAGAAATGTAAAATAATATTTATATTTGTCACATTATCACTTTCATCAATGCTTTTCACCCTTGATTTTTATGTTGCTGATGTCTCTAAAGAACAAAACCTCAATTTTTGGCTTATTTTTCTTTCCGGTTACATAGTCGATATCTTGTCCCCTACAGTAGTGCTATTCTTTACCAGCCTTGTATTCCTCACTAATTGGCGTTTCCGAGAGTTAAATCTTCAGTTAGAGACTCTCCTGCAACCAGCGCGAGGTGTCTGGCGAAGAAAAAGAAATCGCGTTGCAGATGTTTTCTGGCTGAGAGTTTTCGCCGACAACGAAGATCCGCCGTTCCATGCTGCACCGATGGAGAATACGCAGAAGGTGCAGCAGCTGCGTCGCGCGCATTTGGCGCTGTGCGAGGGCTCGGCGCAGCTGAACGGGGCCTTCGAGGTGCAGATCCTGGCGTTCGTGGGGAAAGTGTTTTTCAACGTTACGGTGGACCTATACTCCGCTCTCAAAGGCCTCTCTCACTCAACCGCCGATCAGCAGCACTCGGGGACTCAACAGGTGTCGATTCTGTTCTGCGCCTGGACCTCCCTGTGGATTTCGTTGGTGAGTCATTTTAACCCTTGACCCACATGCTACATTAAAAATATTGTGTGATCACTCCCATGTTGGGGTAATAATTCGAGGTATAAGCATTTCAAACAGGTTCGAACACTCTAAATAGTTATATTTGAAGATGTCTGACATATAAAATTCAATCTGATCGTGTTGGTAAGAGCAAATATTGTTTAACACTTATACACTTATTTTTGCTACATTTGAGACACTTTCTTTCCAGTCGTTGGGTGTTTTTTTTCGTCAGCTCTTCAATAACATTTTGAAACTTCATTTAATTCTGATGCACTATCATTGTCGACGTCCAAATGTGAACGAAAATATAAGTCTTCACTGACGTTTAAGTATGTCTTTCTGTCGTTTAAGTTTAGCTTTCTAAATAATATCATTATCATTCATATATCAAACTTTGTGTCTTCAAATTCGATTAGAAAACATTCAATTCTCTTCAAATAGAATTTCCTTCTTTGCAAAAATTGAATGAAATTGTAGGGCCATTGATCCCACGTGTGTTAACCGCGGTATGTACCTAACCTGCTAGGTTTTGTAAGTGCCGATAGATAGCAGGAAGAAGACTGGTTAGATTCAAGCGAATTGGAAACTAACTTAAAAGAGACAGTCTGTATTGTTCTGCAGAATCATCATTGTCTTAATGAAATATATTATAAAAAGCTAGATTTTTAAATAAGTTAATATACAGTTTTTGAAAAGTATGACTAGTTTTGCATAATTATTGCATGAAGTGAAGGCAACTATTTTAAAAGTTCTTTAGTTTTTTAATAGAGAAAAGTACGCTTATGAAAACGGCGCAGTTTCCATTTTCATTGAACTCTCTTAAGTTTGGATAATAGCAAAAGTTGCAAAAATGCGAGAAAGTATGTGCTGCTGTAGTATCACTAATTTTTTTAGAAGCAAGAATTGAACGACACACGGTGACAACCGGGCAATGGACCTCGACTTGGTTTACAAACTTCAACCTTTTCCATTATTTGCTTTATATCGGCTTAACGACGCTATGACTGTGAAAGGCATCATTACACTCAACGAACAATGAATTCACAGAGAACGCAGTGTCGAAACACGTGTAAAGAATAAGTGAGTTAGGTCGCAAAACGTAAAGAAAAACTGTGTACAGAGTGTGGCTCCCCATTGCAGGTGTTGGTTGCGTTGCTGGCGTGTTCCTCGCTCGCGCGAGAGGCGCAGCGCACCGGACGCATCCTGCAGCGCCTGCAGGTAGCCTCCGGCGCTGCGCCCAGCGACCTCCGCGCGCTGCAGCACTTCGCGCAGCAGGTGCAGGCGCAGCAGCCGGCCTTCGGAGCCTGCGGTTTCTTCCCGCTCGACCTGCAGCTCGCGTGCTCCATGGCGCAGGGCATAGCCTCCTACATTATCATCCTCATGCAGTTCGACGCCTCCAAGAACTAGCAGGAAAACCAAATCGGCTCTTCTTTATTATCATCATTAAGTAGTGTGATATGATCGTGAGGATGCCGTATTTCACTCAATATTGCGTGCAAACTACGAACATTTTCAAAAAATTACACGACAATAATTAAAGAACAAATTGTAGAGAACAAACTTGATTTGAAGAAAAAAGCTCTTCTTTAATAATACTGTTCGACAGTCCTTTCCTGATGGAAATTGATTGACTTTGATGGATATTGAGTGACCATATTTCACCCAATATTGCGCGCAAACTCCTAACATTTTCAAAAAAAGTTACAAGACAATAATTAAAGGACAAATTGTAGAGAACAAACTTGATTTGAAGAAAAAAGCTCTTATCTTTAATAATATTTTTCGAGAGTTCTTTCCTTATGGAAATTGAAAATATTAAGCAAACATTTCTTTCTTGGAGAAAAAAATATAGTTAATTATTTTTTCCGTTTTTGAGAAAAGCTTGATTTTTTTATTGCGACTATATCACTCAAATTTTCGCCATAACTCGTTCTTCCACAGCTAAATACCTCAATGACCATAAGCAAGGAAGGAGGATTCCGCCTTTACACCCTTCCCTTTTATTTTTAATTTCTATAAAATCTATCACTATTATTCACATTGTAAAAAAACCTCACTTTATTCTAAATTGCTTTGCAAATTAGAATTTAGCGGATCGAAAATAGTTTTAGATACCTGATTAATTTCGAAAGGTTAAATGAAGTTTCCCTGAAGGACTCCTTTTGTCTCAATATTTATTTGCTCTCTCACAATTCTCTATTTCTTCACTAGGACCTTCAAGCGAGACTTGCTCAGACGAGCTGTTTCACTGCAACGAATGTTTTGGAATTAGAAACCATTGCACCCACCTTTTTCAACGATTTACCGTGTGGGTGGGTAAAGAAGTAATTCGATATAGTGTTGCAGCGAGCTTTGAAAACACCAGCAGACCTCAACAAGGAAACGCCAATCCTGACATGTTTAGTAAACTATGGAAACACCCGTTGACTTCTCTCTTGTATTTCAAACTCTTTTGGAAAGAATAAGAGCTTGCTTCAAGTTCAACGGCCCGCCCAGATGTGGCGAAAGATCCTTGTTATGTTTAGTTAACCGTCAAATTCCCGTTTCAAAATGCTAGACCTTTAGTGGTATATTAAAAGTGTATGAATGAAGAAAATTATTGGTAGAATGAAAACCGGAAATATATCGTAATTTAATTTTTACAGTTTCTTCTATATATACTTCATTGAGAACACTCATA